TCAAACGATCTCCCAATAGACATCGCCTGTCTGACGTGACATAGTAGGCCTGTAGAAACGAAAAAATTTTGGGGTGTACGTTTGCTGTAGGGCTAAATAATATACATTATCCCTTAATCTTTAATTTGGAATATTTACCGTGACAACCTTACAACAGTTAATTTCACAATAAGCATGCGCACAACAACTGAAAATTAATTATGAGAATTTATTTTTTTTGAATGAAAACTTGTTGGGCCTATATATACTCCCTCTCTTATCTTATCTTATAAAATACAGACGCTGATTTAAAAAAAGAAGATTACGTCTTACGTGTCATGCATCTAGTCATGCATGTTAGCCAATGACTTAAATTCTGCCAAGTCACTGGTTTTCTTGGCCAGCTCAGGCAACCCATTCCATGCTCTAATAGCACTAGGGAAGAAGGAGTATTTGTACAAATTTGTCCTAGTATATGGAACGAGGAATGCGCTTTTATTTTTTTGTGTCTTTCTGAGTATTTTATTAAATTTTGTTTTTGTATTTGAAGATTATGGTTCAGTGTTTTATGCATAAGTGCTACTTTACGTTTGAGTCTTTTATCCTGAAGGCTTTCTAAATTTAGTGATTTTTAGTAAAGGTGTTACTCTAGTCAAATGTGAATATTCATTAGTTATTTTGTGTCTGTTCCAGTCTCTTAATGTTTTCTTCTCCAGCATCTGTCACACATCTAAACGCTGACAATATATATTGCACAATAGACCTTACTTTTATCATTTTAATATTCGAATTGCCACTGAGGATAAGGAATTATTTTCAGAACGAGGTTTACAAAGTGCGAAACGTCAAGGCTTTTCATGAAGGCAGCCAAGATTTTAAACACTGGGAGAAACGGTAAGCAAGTGTCTGCTAAGACTCAATGGCATGCCTGCGGTGTCATGCCAACTTTGATGCACAACCAAAGGAAGAGAAAAAAAAAATCCCCACCTTTCTTTAAAGGCAGGCATTCACCATGATCTTGAATACCTTCAAGTGATCAGACAGTTAATGAAGAGACAACACAGATTGGCTAACACGAGAAAGTACTTCGTGTAGCTATTACTAACGAATCACGTAATCATCATCTTTTTTGAAGTAACGTCTGTGTTATATTATATAAGAAAAACAAAACACTAGTACGAAGAGTTAGCATTATTTAGAGCCATGGCCGCCGCGAGGGTTGTGGCCGCCTGCGTGCAAAGTTTAAAAATGCCGCCCCCCCCCCTTTTTTTTTTTTTAAAAATTCATTAAGACTGAGCTGGACTCCGTACCTAAAGCGCTCTTATCTATTTTTGTACCATTCCTTTCATATTCGCATCGTTGTTGTATCCCGATACCCTCTAAGATGTTTTATTTTAAATTTTAACTTTGCATTTTTTTAAAGAATGAAATGAAAAAGAATGAGTTATAGCTTCACGTCCTACTTTCTGTGCAGCAAAGGCATCTATAACATCATCTACATCGATACTTTCTAGTATTTGTGACTCCACTGACATTAATTTCATTTCGTTTTTGTACCTTTTCGGTCATGTGGCCCGAGCTACGAGTGTCGGAAATTAAAATGGCCCGCAGGTCGATTTATGTTAGGCATCACTGAGCTATATGAATTGAGATTTTTCACTTGTGCATTATTTCGCCAAAAAACAACGGTATTAAAAGATTCTTAATGATTATTTCTTAATAATTTTACTGATATACTGTACCAATTCGAATGTAGGGTTATATATTTATTACATATTCTGAGGTATCTATAATGCAATTAGCTTGCTACTCTTCCGCTAAAAAAATTCAAAAACCAAACCTGCTATTCATTGCACTTATATAATGGAGTGCAGGGACTGCTAGAAAATGGTTATATTTTTGCTATAGTTTTTGTATTGGAGGGGAGGATAACCACAAAACCCGTTTTCGCTACGCTTAGGAAATTCTGTGACTGTAGTTGGCTTAAGTTGGCTCCACTGTGGCATTAAGTAAAGTTTCCTTTTCAGACAATGAGGTCGGGGGTAAGTGATGATTTGATTCCCCCTCCTCCCGGCTACGCCCATGTTTTATATTATAGGTGTAAGCCTAATTCTCGTCAAAATATATACAATTTGATAACCCATCGAAAACTGGATGTATGCTTGCGTAGGGTTACATAATGTATTTTATTTATACATATGTGTAGTCTGAAAACTATAAACAACACAATAGCAGCCTTAATGAGTTTGAAGCTTTTTGGTATTACTTATACCAATCTAGTTATGCATGTTGATCTGTGACTCAGGCAACCCATTCTATTAAATGATTGGAGAATGCAGAACGGTTAGAGGGGCACTTACAAGTAAATTCTCAAAAACGCGAATTGTATATAAATATATATAATTACCCATTATTTAAAATATAAATCTTCTTTCATTAAATATTGGATGTGACAGTGCTATAGGCCCCGGTACATTTAAAAAAAAAAAAATTTTCTTGTATTTAAACGTACATTATTAATTTTTAGTAGTTAAAAGTTAGGCAATGAACTACTGAATACCGGCACCTATTTTTCTTTTACAAAAAAAAAAAAAAAAAAAAAAGCACTGTATAGGCCTATAAATTATTATAATTATTATAAGAATTTCCATCATTAATATGACTTCATACTATGCATAATAAGCATAAGTTTGCCATTAATTATAATAGTAAAAAATGATTTAAATCTAGATTTTCTTTATTAAATAATATTTTTTTGTAAGCCTTAAGTGTAGTTTTTTTTAGATCTATGTAATGCACAAATTGTAAGACAAATTTCCATACGGACAATAAAGATTATTATTATTATTATTATTATTAAAAATAAACAAAAAGAAAACTTACTTTTCTGTACAAATCGCAGAAAGTAGAACTCTATACCCATATTGAGTAGTGAATAAGTTGGATGGTTTGCAATTTCGCGGCTTTGTGTGAGTTAAAGTCTATTCCAATTAAGTATTGTTAAAGAGCTTCTTCCTTGTTCTCATTTTTATGTTGGAACGTTCAGATGACTAAGAAAAATATATGAGATGAACTGCGAAATGGTTCCCAAATCAGGGAGCTCTCCATATTCTATTGTGGTGTTTTAGGGTCAGTGTTTTGTACGGGCCTCATGAGAACAATTTTGAAGGACATATTGTCTCATTCTGTTGTGTCCGGCCCTGAGTCGTAAGATTAGACGTTGATCTTGTCGGGATAGCTTATAATAGGCATCATCTTTCGTGTGATTCGGACGATGGCTTGTCAATTTCTCATTTATTTTATTTTCTTATAGTTTCTTCATTTCTTCTTGATAGAGTGCAATTTAATTGTGAATTTGTTCTCCCACTCTTGGCGAGTGTATCAGCCTTCTCATTTCCTTCTAGTTCTATATGTGCTGGTATTCATTGTATTTGTTAGAGAGTTAATTGTCGCCCCTACTTTTTTCTGTGTTATATCAATGTTTTCTAACTTAACCTCTTTCATCCCTCTCTTTCGTTAACCTACAATGAAACCATCAAAAGACGGGGGAGGAAAGGAGCAAAAACAAAAGGGAGTGCAATCAAAGTACATGCCGACCAGCAAAATGATTAGGCCAAACACAACCTCGACGACATCACAGCAATGTTGAAGTTCATGCCACTCGTGCATAGCTAAAAGTGCGGTCTAACGTTTTGTAAATGATAATACTTAGGCTACAGTGTATAGTGTAATTTTTTTGATATTCTTGTTGAATTTCAAACAAAATTAAGTGAATAATAATAAAAAAAAAAAAAAAAACGTGTTCGGGCATCTGTTTCTGTCTGATGTCACTTTTTTTTTTAAAGTTGTCTGCATTGTACCTATGCGCGAATCTATGAATGAAGTTTGATTTATAAATGAAGAAGCCTGTGAACATTTTAATAATACTTACTTCCCCTGATGTTTTTCATTTGAAAAAACCCTGGCATATATAATTTTTAAAAAATTAGATGGTAAAGAAAAAAGCAGAACTTTGAATGATCTAAAATATCATGATATCCGATTTTAATTTTCTCTTCCAGTTTCTGAGATCTAAACGGGACGGACCGACAGACAGGCCACACAAAACTTTCGGGGGCACAAATAGTAATAACATTAGTGCAAAACACAATACAACCAAAAGCTTAAAATTTTTCTCATTTTTTCCATTTTTTTCATTTAACCCCCTTGTCATTGGTAGCAAAATTAGCCAAATAAATGTATAACAAATCTGAAGAAGAGACTTCTTGACACGCGTGCCTTGGCAAATGATGACATTCATTTAACAAAAAAGTTGCACACGAACTCCAACCGCAATCACTTTCACAGCAGTGACCTTGAATTGATAAATTAAAACCATCGTCTTAATGATCAGAGGGTGTAAAAGGGGGGGGGGATTATCTTACAAGCATGATGGACTTCTATTGAATGTGTAAACATGAAGTAGCGGTAGCTTTATCCCATTGACATCCGTTGTACTTCAACGTAAACTGTAGATCTTTAAATTATATATTTATACCTAGGTACTTAGAAGTAACCCGTGGGGAGTATGTCTATAAAATAAATGAAATACTAGTCCCTGAGGATCAAGTTTCTGACTCGAGGAAATGTGACTACAGAGTAGTAGTGAGAACCCGAGATATTCTGGATCTAGAGTAACACCATGAATGGCAATGTCTTCGATTCTGAAGATTAAAGATGAGTGCAGTGTTTCACATGGCTATGCAAATCCAGTTGTGAGACGGCACAAGTGTCCCCATTTACTAAATAACACACAATTCAAGCATTTTTTACTTACTTAAAATTAGTTTTAATCCATAAGAATAAAAAGACAATTCTTCGGTTGACCAAAAATACATTTTGCATCTATTTTTAAAATGATGATGGAAAAAAAAGGAGTTGTTTTTCTAAATCTCTAAGCATGACGAACGAACAGACAGACAACAGAAACACAATATTTTTTTGTTTCTACGGAGGCAGCTAATAAAAATAGAAAAAACAACTGAATTTCATAATTTCATTTATTCTCCATATAAAAATGACGTCATACCACCAAGTAAATAATGTGAACAAAAAATAAAATGTTCAAAAGCTGAACATAATAATGAACAAACAAAAAATGATTTTCAGATTTTCATAAAAACATAAAGCATAAATAAATAAGAAACAATTCTAATCGAAGTATGTACAATGAACGTAAACAGATTGTGTATGGGTCTGGTCTGCGTCTTGCTAAGAGCTGAGTATACAAAGGATAGTGGTGGAGAAAGAAATTCTAAATCTCAATAACAAAACAAGAGAGAGACGAGAGAAGACTCAATAAATTCAATGGTAAGACTCAGGGATAGTTTTTTTTGCTTTACTTCAATAAAACGTTAGAACCCAACATGCTTGGTTTCAGTGTTGGCACTAGTCTGACCAAGCTGCCAAGCTACACGATTTCTAAATACGTCTAGGAATTACATTTGGTACGGAATTTTATATTGAACATGAGTCAGGAAAAACACTACACAACTATGTCCTAGTCGTATGAGTCATCCTTTTGTTTTCAACAAAACGAGCTCTTAATCTACAACTTGTAGTTGGTAGTACTTATTTCAAAACCTTATGTTAAACTAAAACATGTAGTTAACATTATTCCTTCTAAAAAGAAACAACACTATTATAGATCTATGTACTTAAGAATATTAATAAAAAAAACAACAACTAGTGGATTCTCTCGACAAAATGATCGACCATCCTTTCCACTTTAAGCCGCGTATTAATTCTACAACGCACTGCACGAATACCAGTCTCACCAAGAGTTGAACTCAATTATCTCCAGCTTGGTAACCAATACACAGATATTTAACCACCCCATCCCCTATTGATGTGCGGATTAGTGGGAGAATAAAATTGTCTGTAGTTCTGTTTATGTTATAACCCCAAATGACGCCTAGGCTGTCTGTAGTTCAGTTTATGTTATAACCTAAATGACGCCTAGGCTGTCTGTAGTTCTGTTTATGATATAACCTCAAATGACGCCTTGTCTGGTGATGTTATGATCCCGGAAATGATGTCATGGCTGACTTGAATAAGAGGAAATAACGTTTCGTTGCACATTTGCTATTAGTTCTAGATGTCAAGTTGACTGACATGATTGACTAGGATGACTACATAAGGAATAATACCGTTTGAGCCCCACTTTGTAGAACACCTAACAGAGACTGAATAGAATGTCATGCCAGACTTACACCACCAACCTAGTCACTGTCCAGTGACACACAGCAAAGCAGTGTCCATTGGCTTCTGCCCCACCAGCTCTAAAGTTGTCGTGTTGTACCTTCAGGTGCAATAATTAATCAACATTCGATCAACTTGATATTTTCTCTTCATTGTCTGTTTAAACCAAGATGACGTGAAAACATGATGTTGGGTTAGATCAATCGTAGACTTTACTTAGGATGAACAAAGCAAAGATGAAACTCCAATAAAACATCTACATCTATGTCTAATGAATGGAAAAAAACTAGGTCATGAACATCAATAAAAGTTAGTAACAATGTGCCACGAGTTAACATTAAAAACATTACTATCAATGCAACAATACTACTTTCTCCCCCAACTAGTAGCCTTAATAAATAGACTTAAACAGTTTTTAAAAATTTACAAACGTGTAGATCTAGGTCAGGTCTACCAACTGTAAAGTATAAGTCCTATTATTTCATAAGAGCAGAATCTGATCTAAATAGACTGGAAGTGATTTCAATAACTTTTAATAACATTGATGACAGCTAATCTCTACTAGAGAAATGAGATCAACAGATGATATAATCAGATGAGTGACTGTGTAACAATGAAAAGTCTTGGCCAATGCTGTGGTCATTTCCAAAGGTAAGTACATCGATGTGGTTACTGGTTACTGACGTAATATCTACACAATAAAATATATTAAATAGTACTTCACAAGCTAAATGTATGATTACAATATTTAGCAGAAAAAAAAAGGTAAGATTTTCTATACTTGAATTCAAAAACTTTTCTCCTTCTGACCTCATGCTTTAAATCAGCTGGATCCAAGGGACAACATCCAAATATATAGTCTTGCAAATCTTTTAAAAATACGTTTACTAATGAGTTGAGAATATGTCAGTTGTGAATTGTGAAAGATGAATTCATGAGTAAAGAATATGTCAGTTATGAAATATGAATTATGAGTTGAGAATATGTCAGTTGTGAAACTTGAATTTATGAGTTTAGAATTTGTCAGTTCTGAAATATGAATTCATGAAAGCAACAATGCTAAGAAAGAACAATACTAAAGTAGAAGTTGTTTTGAAACTGAGGTGCCCAGGTATTGTGTATTTAGAACATGGCTAGGGTGTAACATATTCAGATCGATGTCATTTCTCCATAGCCAACCAACAAACTGAGCTACACAGGTGTGGACTAGCAAGCTTGTGCTCAGGAGTTATCAAGACTGTAGAGATGAACAATCATTTCTCCCTCTCATGAGTTACTATCAAGCCATCTAGAGGCTGAGGTGTATGCTATGGCCTCGTGGAAATAGATGTCTTAGAAACGTAGTTGGTCAGGAAAAGAAAACAACAAGCAACAAAAAAAAAACAGGAAACAAAAAAAAGTGTTCAGACACTGCTTTCAAACATTATCAAGGACTCGATGGTTACATATTGTGTGAATGAATGGTTTGGTACAATTGAAAACAGTAAGTGTTAACGAAACAATATTAGTGATACTTTTTTTTTTTTTGTTCATTGGTGACAAAAGCATCAACAAGGAAAAAAAAAACGTTTTTCTTTGTTCAATTCCTAAAGTTACCTTAAGACAAGTAGTTGATATCAAGAAATACGTTTTGAGGGCAGGTTCCTCCCTTCCAATAGAGCAGTACAATTCATTGACAAGAATGACAAAACATATGGTATCTTGACAGTGACAGCTACAAGCTATATCAAACACACTATAATAAATATTCGTCATTTGGGATCTACCTTTTTATTTTCAAAAGAGAACAAAATGTCAATATTTATTTAAAAAAAAACAACAAACTCCTCTCACACATCCTATTTTACTTATTTCTGATGAAATCTCATTTTACTTATTTCTGATGGAATCTCATTTTACTGCCTGGATGGCTGCCTGGTCGTGTGGTTTGCATACTGGACTGTCGTTCGGATTTATCAACGGTCGAGGGTTCAAACCCTGCCCGCTCCCATCGTCCTGCGGGAGGTTTGGACTAGGAAGTAAACTATCTTCAACTCTGAAGGAACATCCGAAACATGTAAAACATTTTACAAAACATTTTTATAAACACATTTACTTATTTTTGATGGAATCTCATTTTATTTAGCCCCTCAGATATGATGGAAATTCTAAATTCATCTACGAGCTGGACTAAGGAAGTTGGATTTGTAATTCACATTAGTGCCCAGAGTGCTTGCAGAGCAATAGAAATTACAATTGACTAGCAATCATCCATTTTTGAGATTTTCATATGAAAAGAAAGGGCCTATACATTCTCAATACTAAAGTAAAACTTAAAAAAAAATGACATGAATGGCAGCCCAAAGACTCCAAAGTTAAAAAAAAATGCATAATGACAGAGACCAACAATAGCCAATTGAATACTGAGTGTCTCCCTCACTTCAGTAGGTATTAGAATTTCCTCCCACAAGAATCTCTCAATGTTTATCTTGAAGTGTATGATAGAAAGAAACACTTATCAAGAGTCAAGGGTTTATGCCAAGTAAAGTTGGCAAGACAGAAGTGAAGCAGATAACATTACTACAGGCAAGCACTCAGATCCAATCACTTGCCTATATATATCAAGTTTTATTGCACAAAATATTTCTTTAAAAAACAACAACATATGATGCTAATCCACTGGGATGATAAGAAGCAACTGAACTAAAACATGTTCTATTAACAAAGTAACTCCATAATCAAGTTGAATCATTTGAAGTCCCAGAGGTCTAGTCCTCAAGAAACATATCATACCTAGAACCCTGGCTTCATGTTTTCATCTGACAAAGTTAAATATATTTAAGTTGTAACCACCAATCAAACAAAACAAAACAAAAAAAAATCAAATGAAAATTTGTAACAAATAACATTTTTTTATATAATAAAGGTTATTAATTATTTAGTAGTATTGAAAATCAGCATGAATTGATCAATTCACTAGTGAAATGTTTCTTTGACAGAAAACATACTGTATAGTTGTTCAATTCTTTTAAAAGTACAGAAAACTCTGTAGGTACATTTAGATACAGCATGAAATTTTACAAAAATTTAAAAAATATGCTCAAAGCTTTCCTTATAATTCTACTAGTCAATTGTATTTGTACAGATGTGATGCCTAACTAGGATGAACTTAAAGTCTTATGGTTTTTGAATACAAATATTTCAATGAGAATGAAAAGTAAAACAAAACATTTGAACACAACAAGCGTCAAGTCAAAACAACAACAATATCAGCTCATAGAAAATACACATTAAAACCAACAACAATAACAGCATCCATATGCATATAAAAAAAATCATTCATATATTTGTTTCAAAATCAAATTTATCTATAATTCTCTCTCTATATATATTTTGAAATACAATACATATATTTTTTTTCAAAAAATGCAAATTCCAAATCAAGCAATTTAAATGCAAACCAGTGACCAGACAAGCTGAAATAATATTTGTTTTAAAAAAGACAGTAAATGTAACTTCACAGCTCTGTAAGTCAATCCTTACATCAGTATTGTACCATCAGTCAATTCTACAACAGTCATGTTAATTGTAATATCTGTCAAGTCCAACTATTCAATAAAAAAACATTGCCTGTGTAAACAATCCAATTAAAAAAAACAAAAAAACAAGTCCTAATGGTTAAAGCAGATGTAGCTGTAGGAAGGTCAAATGCACATGAATACCAGTGTCAGCACAATTCTGTCATCACAAGGAACAATTCAGTCACAAACAATTATTTAAAAGTGTTCATTAAACAAAAGTCTATAGGGAGACTTAGAAACTATAAGCACAACAATGTCTGTTTGAAAAATAGAAAAAAACAACACAATTGGTCACAACATTTAAAAAGTGAAAAAAAGAGTTCACAAGAAGAAAAAGAACGACATAAATTTGGCACATTTGCATAATTCAAACATAAAAGTAAAACAATTTTTTTGTTACTGCATTGTCAGGTTTTCATTTCTATTGTTTTTTTGTTTGGTTTTTGTATTAATTCCGAGGATGCACTTCTCACGCCAATGTCCCTCCCGAAATAAACATGATGAAGTTAAGAATATTATACCATAGAATCAGTGTAAGGATTGACTAGTTATATAGGTGGGTGCACAATCACCTCACAAAAGATGATAACTAATTACAAGTTGACCATGATGAGCTTCAGCCATCGAGAAGAAACGATGCTATGAAACTATCAATAACCACAATGCACAGATTTTGTGTATAATCACTGCAAGCAGACTCAACTTGTGTACATTAGAAATACAGATTTTTTTAAAAAAGTCACAAAGCCATTTAGTGTATCCTCACATGGCCAACAGAGCTGACCAGTATGATTTGATTGCCAAACTAACACAATGCCCAACTAAGCCATATTTCTTAGGTGTATGTTTTTCATATTTTAAGCCCATCACAGGTGATGTCGAAATAAGCCTTAATTTTTCTGTCAGCAAGACTTCATTAAGAGGAATATGATGAAGGCGTGTCTTCCAATATTCAAAGTATGTCATTTTCAAAGCACAACAATATCTTCTATGTGGAGCTCTCAGTCTCAGTGATAAATGTTTTGAAATTAGCACAAACAATTTCAGGTGTGCCTGGCACTGTTTAGACTAGATCCTACACATAACACATTTTCAACTGGCTAAAGCTGGGTAGACATAGAGAAACAATAAAGTATGATGAGGGAGCATGCACATGTATGAGGAATGGTGCTATGGAGGTAGAGATCATGGATTGTGATTTCTGTATGGGAG